GTTGTTGCTGAAATTTAAGTTACTCTTCAAGTATAAGAACATTAATTTTTATGGCTTATCAAATGAATAGGTTTTAAGCTAATGTCAGTTTAAAGGACAAATAAAATCAACTCATTAACATTTCAAACAGAGTTCTATTTAAGTACCCATAAAACAGTATTGTCATTGAATTGAATAGAAATCTTTTTATCATACAGAGAGAGAGAGAGACAGACAGACAGACAGATATAGTGTCTTAATAAAAATAACTTAGCAATACATACATATTTCTGTAATAGTTACATTTTCAACATATGTCTTTATGCCAGACTTGTTTTTTAATTTTTTGTTTTGTTTTGTTTTCTTGAGACAGGGTTTGTCTGTAGCTTTGGGGTCTGTCCTGGAACTAGCTCTTGTAGACCAGGTTGGCCTCAAACTTACAGAGATCTGCCTGCCTCTGCCTGCCAAGTGCTGGGATTAAAGGCATGGGCCACCACTGCCTGGCATATAATTGTCTTAATGTGAGAAACTGTTATGTGTGTAATCGCAAAGGAAATCTAGAAGTTAATGATTCATCTACTATTAAATGTTTCCCTTTAAAGACACTGTGCCTAGAAGTCCTGAGGACCTGTCATGTGTTTCATATTCCATTTTAACATTCGTAACAAGAGTCAGACACCTGTAACTAAATTTACATGTTTGTTGACTGTTGTTCAATATATTTTTATAGCTACAGATCTTTCTATAGTATTTCAAAATTCAATGAAGTAGAATAATTATTAGTTTTAATTTCTGAAGGTGTGTGTGTATGCTTGTAAATATGTTTATGTGTGCAATGTGTGTTTATTGTGTGTGTGTGTGTCTATTCAGACATGTCTACATCTCACCCATACATATAGTTAATGTGTTTTGAGGCTGAGTGATACCTAGCACCCTTAAAGAGGAGAAATGGTGACACTTAGGGATATAAGCATAAATCTACAGGGGTGTACTCCTTATATTAACTCACTTCCTGTTTAAGTAGCTTATATGGCAGAGAAAACATCAGAAATTATTTTTAACTATGGATAATACCATTTATTTTCTTTAAAATACATGGGATTTTTGAGAGAGCAGTAGAAACAGAGACAAGCTACCCAGTGACTATAAAATCCTGCTTCATTGTCTACTGTTTGATGCTGTTGTTCTTCAAAGAAAATAGAAAGAAAGTAATAGGAAGTGTTCTAGAATACACACATTGATAAGTGGGGTATATTTGCATTAAAATTGTGATTGAGCTATAGTTCAAATAATTGCCTCTGCAATCATAAAAGATGCATCAGCTTCATTTATCCTTTGACCTATCTTTTTCAGAAGCCTTATCAAAGCTTTCAACGGAAATGTATTAAAGCAAAACAAAACAAAACTGTCATTTGAATAGTTTGTTGTTTCAGCTAGTACCTGACAAGTCTCTTATAATCATCTTACAAATGCAATTAAGAAACGGGGGTGAGAAGGAAGCGAATTCACATGCATTATATGTGCTCTGATTAGCGTGTCACAAGCCCGTGATAAAATGGCAGCAGGATTGGCTGGTGCTTGGATTGGCAGGTCTTTTTCTGTTTAGAATTTATTAATGATTTCAATGATGTAAAGATGGGGCCTGTTTGACTGGAAAACATGATTTTTATACTTCAAAATAACAAAATCACAAGGACATAATGTTCAAATAATAGAAGATTAGAGACTGAAATCCAGAAGATGAAATAATACAAGGTTTGTTCCAATGCTGTGATATAAAAAGACAACCATACAGCAGAGAGAACATGACTGGGCAGATGTTTTCATTCTAACAAAAGAGGGCAGTGTTTACCTGAGCACATGCCAGCGCAAACCCAAAGCATCATCACAGACTAGAAACATCTTAGAAAGCAGTGAGTGTCTACTGTCCGTGGTATGGGGCTTACCTGACATACTGCATTGCACCCTATTAAGACTATTTACATTTCTAGTCCCATTCTTGATACCTGCATGGGGTTAATTAGTATTTCCTGGGACAAACTACTGGTCTGCACTGAGCTCAGGAATACATAAAATGAAGGAAAAAAGTATCAAGAAAATTGTTTCTTTATTAACCCCCAAAAGGCAAAGCTTAATAAATTGTCCTTCATATATTTGAAGTACAATGATATGTTTTAAGGGTTTGATTTATTTCACATAGGGTAGAAATGAGATTAATATGAACAAATGAGAATAATTTAAGATATACCTGGGTAACAAGAGAAAACAAAACCTCTACTTTAGGAGCCAAAGCCAAATCATTTGAGTCTATGTTACAGAACTCTAATCTACATTGTTGTAGCACTGATAATGCCTGCTTTATGTAGCACAAAGGCTTGATAAGCAGTGTATGAGAAAGCATATAAAAACACGCTAGCCTCCAGAATCAACCAAAAACAGCACAACATGACCCAAGGATGGTGTGTCAAGAGTCCCAGAGGAGTGGACCAGTTGCCAGAATCCTTCAGGGATTCCCTTTTTTGTGGAGACACAGAGATTCTGCTCTGACCAGAGACAGAGTTATTGTGCTATGTCCAACTATAACTGATATTCGTTTATTGCCTATTTCATCTCGGTTAAAGTCAATAAATAATAATTAGATAAGAGTTACAAAGAGTCACTAATGCCAATTAGCTAATTTGGATCAAGAGCACAGCTAATATCCACAGTTTTTAGAGAATATGTGATAGACTGGACTTCAACCAAAATACTCATTAGCTTAAAGATGAAAACTATGGCCAAAATATTCTAGACCAAATTAGGGCTAATTTATTTTATGCAAATAATTGTCTGTACATTTGTACTGCCAATTTTGAAAATATGTAGACTTTTCTGACCTTAAACTTCTGTCAGAATCTCTAATCTTATATTCTGTCTTTGGTAGTCGATACCCCATGTGCACCTGTTTGCTATATTTTTATTTTATTTTATTAGTGCTCAAAAATAATTATCCTCCAAGTTAGCAAACTCTACCAGCTGTTCCTAGCTTACTTACCCTTTGACCTTCTTTTCCAGGTGGACCTTGGGGGCCTTGTATCCCTATGGAAGCCTGTGAAGAAAACGGAACACATGTTACCACTCTAGCTCAGTGCATCTGCCATGAAAGAATGTAGTGATAATTGATACTCATTTCAGTAGTGAAATCTAACAAGTTTAAGTCATTTGAGCTCCTTCAATGTATCAATATATTAATAATGATAAATGGCTCCTCCTTGTTTCCAGAAAAGAGTAAATGGAAGTTCTGAGTCAGGTGAGAGATTAAACAAATGAACAAACAAGCAAACAAACAAAATCCCCAAAAATACAAACCAAAAAAACCCTTCTTATTACTGAAACCCCATATTGTCAAACTACTGAACACACATGCTAACAATATTTATAAGTAGAAAAATTACCTTGTATATATTTAAATTTTATAAATAAAATTACAGTTTTATTGAGAACAGCTTTGTATAGTTTTAGAAAGCACATGATTGGCTTCAAATATGTCTATTTATAACATGTACCCTTCAGTACCTTACATGTTATTAAATAATTTCTCTTATTGTCATCAAATGAAGGGGGAAAGTCATTATTTTTCAGACTTTAAAAATGTTGATGAAATCCCAGGAGCTGTTAGTCTGAAAGTCAGTCTTTTGAATTTCAGAAGTATTTGTTATTACAAGATGTTCTGCTCAACCTGAAACTCAGACTATATCACTATTCTTCATCTTCAGCAATTATTATTTGGTGTGGGACAATTCTGTATTCTGTCAATTATGTTTTAAATAAACACTGATTGGTCAGTTACTAGGCAGGAAGTATAAGTGGGTCAATCAGACAGGAAGTAGAGGTGAGTCAATCAGAACAGGAGAATTCTGGGAAGGAGGAAGCCCATTCCTCCTCAGTCCTGCCCAGATATGGAAGAAGGAAGATGTGACCTGCCCCACTGGAAAAGGTACCAAGCCATATGGCTAACATAGATACGAATAATGGTCTAATGTAAGTCATAAGAGTTAATAAGAATCCTGAACGAATGGGCCAATCAGTTTATAATTAACACAGACTCTCTGTGATTTCCTTGGGGCTAAATGGCTGTGGGACCTGGTGGGAGGACAGAAACCAGGAAGGACAGAAACCTCAGTCAACAATTCTTGATTATTCTTGATCTTTCCTAGTGTTACTTCCTTCCCCTTTTAACCTTCAAATAGGCTTATGTGGAATTTTACACTTGTCTTCAGAGTTTCTGTTCTCTTCATGATTTCCTTCATTTATGGCTTCAGATCCTTTACAGTAATGATTCCCAGACCCATAGCCTTCATTTATCATATGCAGATCTAACAGCCAAATGCCTGTGTGACACCCCCACTTGGATATAAAATGTGGCAATCAAACACTGGATGTAGAACCCTCCCCCACTTCCCTTTGGCATTCTGTACCTCAGTACCCAAGCATTGTCTTGTCACTCAATCTAGAAATCAGACTCACACCCCACACTCTCTTCTCTCATACTCATTCCTTACATATAATTACCGAGGCTGCTTAGTTTTCTGTGTATTTGAGTCCATCTCTCTCCATCCCATTACTTTCAAATAATCTGCCTGTCTGCAAAGCTTCTTGATGATCCTGTCACCACCAAGCCAGTTTCAGAAAAAACCCAGCTTTGCCTCCCTGTGTCTCTCCTGACTTGCTTGTTCAGTTTATGATGGTTTAAACTTTTAGAAAACAACACACTACAGATTCATTTAAATGGTGTTCATGTAATGATTTGTCTTCTGGCTGAGAGTCTATCTTGTTTAATATGGTGTGAAAGATCGAGGTAAAATTAACATAGTAAAAATGGCAACCTTACCAAAAGCAGTATACAGATTCAACAAAATGCCCATAAAAATCTCAGCAAAATTCTTCACAGACCTCAACTTCATATGGAAAAGAAAAAAAAAAAACCAGAACCTGGAAACAACTTAAATGCCCCTCGAGCAAAGAATGGATAAAGAAGATGTGGTACATTTACACAATGAAGTACTACACAGTAGAAAAAGTAATTACATCTTGAAATTTGTGGGCTAATGGATCGATCCAGAAAACATTATATTGAGTGAGATAACCCAGACCCCAAAATGCAAATATCATATGTACTCATTCATAAGTGGCTTTGAGACATAAATCAAAGAAAATCAGCCTAAAAAAATCACAATTTCAGAGAACGTAGACATCAATGAGAACCCTAAGAAAAACATACATGGATCTAATCTACATGAGAAGTAGCAAAAGACAAGATCTCCTGAGTAAATTGGGAGCATGGGAATCATGGGAGAGGGTAGAAGAGAATGCGAGAGGATGGGAGAGGAATGGAGAAAAATATATAGCTCAATAAAAACAATTTTAGGAAGAAAAAATAAATAAAAATAACAAAATTCTGTATAAATTATTGAAACAGATTTTTGAACATTAGTACAAAATTTCTGCTGTTGCTAATTGTCAGATTCTTAACTTCTTCACCATGGTTGATGAATAAAAGCTATACATTTATCACTACGGTTATTTTATATGATTTGGAAAAAATAATGGTATGAAAGTAGTACAAACTTCCATTTTACTATCTTAGGAATAAAACTTGAGAACAGAGAAATTGATTGATTTTGTTTGTAATTTAAAAACCACTGGCAAAATGATATATAAGCATGGAAAGTTGGCTCGTTAGGCTAATTCCAAGATAACAACAAATTCCTAATATTTATGAGTAAACTGAATGTTGAGATTAAAATATACCAATATTAATTACAGCATAATTACATAGACACATTATTTTGTACGAGACTGACACATTCTTGGCTCTAGATGAAACTCTTCTCTTTTGCCCTCAGGAAAGCTACTGTATTTCAAGAATAATAAAACTAATACACAACATTTTTGATATTCATCCAAATGCTGACAACTCCTTCAATGTTTTTAAACATGAGTTTCTAAAACACATACACATTAGCTATCATCAAAGGAATATGCTTAAATCTTGGAAATATTAGAACTGTATTCTCTTTACAAGTATGGAAAATTATATTGTGAAGTCTGTATAATGCAAAATAGTACATTTTATTTTGAATGAGTTCAACATATTAGGAAATATGAGAATCTTTTGTGCAGCGGTCTACCCAGGAAGAAAATGGTACACACATAAATGTCAAGTGTGCCTCACAGCCACAAGCTCTGCTCCCACTTCACTCTTGCTAAGTGAAGGAGCCAAGTAGCAGACTGATGAAAGCTCACTATATTCTGTTTAATCTTTAACAAATAACTTCCAATTAAAATTATCCATGGCATCTTATATTTAATCTTCTCCATGCTGACCCAATGCTCGGAAATTTAGCTCCTGGTGTGCTGGATAGTGTTATCAAACTCAGGACGCAGGCTGCTATGTATAAATGCCCTGCCTTTGATCCAGCTCCAGTATTCTTATACTGCTGTATGGAACATTAGCTGACATTGACAAAGAAAATGAGTTTTAATATTGACAGTAGTAAAACAGATCCGTCAATTACACATACAATTATTATTATTTTAAAAACTTGTTTTCAATATTGCATTAGAGAAGTGATTTTCCCTCTTTCATCTCAGCATTCCATATTCATAAATATCATGCTTTTACTTTCAAGTCTTTTTTCCCTCCTGTGCCCTATAAGTGAGAGACATCATGCGATACTTTAATTTATGGTATCCTCCAGAACTTGAAAATAAGACCCGATTGTTGAAGACCCCATATGCTTGAGCCTTAGAATGTGGAGGAATCAAACTGATAATGACCTGAAAGCTTCATGCCTACTGGCTGGCTTTCTCAATGCTGGAAGTGTCGTCTACCCTACTTGGAGAGAACTAACCATCAGTCATACCCAGAAATACACTCTGTGAGCTACAATAATGGCCAAAAAGGCAATGGAGGCTTTGTAGTATAAAAGTGGCATGAATGTTTTGGGAATAAGTAACCTCTTCTAATTTTACCTGAATTTAAGCCCTGCCCCCATAAAAGGAACTCTGAACATGAGTCATAGTATTAAATTGACTTCTATAGACATCTCATTATGCATATATATTAGGTATTTCTCAACTCTCATCAGAGAAAGCTTCTTCTTGTAATTATGGTGATTAGCACAGAGACTCAAAATGGGGCAATGCAGAAAATAACAAATGTCGGATGCCCAGCAGTAAAATGGGTCCTCAGGATCACGCCCTTTCTGCCTGAGGCTCAAGGGTTATCACATCACAGGAGCTGAAAAGATTTTAAGAGCCATCAATTTAATTTCTGTCTTCCGTGTCACTTAATAAAGCTCCTTTGGGTACCACTTTTCCTTTAAGAGACAGAAGAGGTGGGTGACTCCACTGAGATGGGATTTGCTGGGCAACGGGACACTTATGCATGACTCAGTAGTTGTTACTGCATGCACAAGACTATCGTAAGATCAAGTCATACGAAGTCCCGGCATGCAGGGGGCAGGTGGTGAGCAAGTCCACCCCTAACCGAGGAGCTATGGACAGTTTGAGCTGCTGGGAGAGGGAAGTCAGTTTTCTTTTGTAATAGGAATGCAACCCCGAGAGACTATCTATAACCCTACCCCATGAACATACTGGAAGCATTAAGTGGATTTTAATAAAGGAACATAAAGGAACATATGGATTGAGAGATGGAGTAAGTAGGGTGGAAAGTGGGTGAAAGGAAATAGGGGGTTGACTTGATAATGATATATTGTACACACACACACACACACACACACATATATATATATATATATATATATAATAAAATTACAGATAATAAAAATTATCACCGTATATGAAGGAAGTGTGTGGCCTGGCACATGTGTGAAGGTCAGAGCACAACTTTGGGGAACATTTTTTTCTTCCCTTCCAGATTCATGTGGACTTTGGATATATACCTATGTGTAGATATCATATGGGAATTTTATATTCTCTTTTAGAAATCTCCACTATTATTGCCATAGTGGCCCTACCCTTTTACATTGCAGTCAGCCGTATAATAAAGGATTTGCCAGTCCTCCCTGTCTTCATCATCAGTTT